TTATTTCCCTATCGATTTGAATTGGCAAATATATTATTATTATATGGACCATGTTCCTTCAGGATGTAAATAAGATCATAGCTATCTGCAATTTCCTTTCTTTTCTTGTTCTAAGTAATGGTGGCTTTTGCCATGCCGTTTTATTTTTCTGCTTCTCTTTCCTTCTGTACGTCCTGTGAGTTTTAGAGTCACTAGGCATTCTTTCTTCATGATGTACTCCAGAACTATTTCTCATTATAAGTATCTTTGTAGTTCTGATTTTCCTTAAAACTTCCTCATTGTCACTTGGCTTACGACTAAATGAAACACCGATTCCCGTACGATTACGGAAGTTAAGCAACGTCGAGTTTGGTCAGTACCTTTGAAGAATAAGCGCTCTGGAATACCAGCAGCTGTAAGCTTGGATGTTCGGGTGGTATAATGGATAATGGCTCGGAATTGTTAATCAGTGGGCCGAGTTTCAATTCCAGTTGGGTTTGTTATATTCACTTACGCGCAAGTACCCCTGAGAAAGGTATGAATCCATCTCTTCTTCCCCCAGCTATAGGTTAATTAGTAAAACTTGTATCATTAAACCATTATTATCTCCCCCAACAAAAAAATTCTGGAAATCTAAAAATGTCTTCTGGCTTTAAATAACCTGAAAAGCTGTAGAAAACGAATCAACCAATCGTTGCTCACTTGTTTTGTCCCCGGACAGAATTCTAGAGATAGAACTTTTCTGCGATAATTTAACAAAAAGCTGTTCGGAGGAGTATATTAGCCCATCCTAAACTGCTATATCGTAACGCAATAGAGCCTCAGGAGTAAACCTGGATTCGAGTATTGGAGCCTGAAAGAGATTGCAGTCTGGGGATCGGTATTCGTGCTTAATAAATTACGGTTTAAAGCGATTGCGTGGTCTATTCAGCCTACCACCAAAAAGAACATTTTTCCCTCATAACTGAACCCTTCGTACCAAATTTAGCCCAAGGGACTTCATTTGTTTTTATTGAATTTCACCTATAACAAGGTTCGATGGCCGGTTACTGAATAAGTGTATGACTGTAAGAGGAGGTGGAAGAAACTGAAGGTCGTGACAATAACACGAATTGATAACGACTGACCCTTGGCTTGAAGAAATTAACAACGTAGTGTCCAGGGGAACCAACACACAGGAGCCTGTTCCGGAAATTAAAAGCTCTTTGAGAAACAAAGCTGTCCGGGTGGAAGTTCCTCCTTAAAATTGAATACAGAAGAAATTATGACGATTCGACGTAGCATGGCTTTTCTTGAATCTAAAGGCCTGAACTGGTGGAACTAAAGAATAGAGCTCTCATCTGAACATTTGCGATGGAAATAAAGATAGACTTGTGGCATTGTCTGTGGACAAGAGGCTACAGAGTGGAAAATAAGTGTTTCCATACAAGACCCCGTAAAAGATTTTGAACATCTATCGAGGCTTGAAAGTGGGGACTGTTTAACTCCAATCCAGATATGGCAACAATACTCCTTTTTTGCGTAAGATAAGTTTTATAAAGATAAAGCAGGACAGAAGGAGGCAAATACTTTCTAGAGCAAACCCTTTTTTCACACTTTTCTATGTTTTAATTTATTTTTAGATCATTTCACACCAAGCAAAGCAATAAATCCACTAAGACGCAAAGAGTTCCTGAGAATATGAGAAAACTACTATAAAGGAGAGAGGACAATAAAAGAACAAGGATTAAGAAGACAGAAGATAACGATTGAAATTGCTTTTAAATTTTTAAAGATGAAAGTTGACTGAAAAGCAAGAATCCGGAAGAGAGTTCTACAAGCGAGATATGCGATAGAAGAAACTGTTAGCATAGAACTTACGGTTACATTTAGCCATTTCAACTATAAAATGATGAGGACGTGATGCCAATCTAATATTGCGCTTAAATTCATAAAGTCTAGATACCATAGAGGAAATTTCATCTGAACAATTACCATAAAAGTATCTATAGAAAAGACACAGGGAAGCAACGTTACGATGGTGGGAAAGGGACTGAAGCCGATATGCCAGGTCAGAACCAGTGATATTGTAGAGTCTTTTTTGGATTTTATCAAGAATCTCTAAATATATAGCAGGAAAACCAGACCAGATACGTGAGCAATATTAGAAGCAGGGAAGAATGGTGGACTTTTAAATATGTAAGATAGATTTTGACGAGAAAAAAATTGTGGCAACCACCTTTCTTAGCAGCAGATTTCGAAACTGACTCAATATACTTCTTTCTGTGCCGTGACCCCACCCAGAACGTAAGAGATCATGATTCTCCACAACTTCTTGTCCTTTGTAATTCTTAATAAATGTTGTCTTCCTGTTAATTCTCCTAAACCATGTTCCGCCATCGATGTGTACCTTTAGGGTGTAGGTGGTCATGGCCTTCTACAACTTCCCGTTCTTTGTAGCTCTTAATAAATTTTGTCTTCCTGTTATTTTTCCTAAACCACATTCCACCATCTATTTACTAAAGCTCACTCTTCTTCTATGTGATGCGTACATCCAGCGAGTAGGCGATCATGGCCCTCTACAACATCCTGTCCTTTGTAGCTCTTAATAAATATTGTCTTCCTGTCATTTCACCTGAACCCTGTTCCGACATTTAGTTATTCAAGCTCATTATGCGGTGTTTTCCTCTGTCTTTTTTGCCTTCAATCTGTCCTGTGAGTATCAGATTTTCCAAGCCTACTTTTCTCACTATGTGTCCTAGAAATTTCAAATCGCAGTTGCTAAAAAACTCACTGTTCTTATCCTGTTTCCGGTATGATTCTTATAAGACTTCCTATTATTAGAATCCTAATTATCTATTAGAATTCTAATAAAACCGATTGTCTGGTGAAGTTCGCATTTATCGCAGCCGATATTTTTTACAACAAAATGGGCGCCATCTTCGCTTGCGGCTGATTGTACGATTACTATTCTTCTATGTGTCTTCTATCTTTCATGATATATGGACGTCTACACCTTCCTTTCCTTTATAGCTCTCAGCAGTCATGGAGGCATTAAGGGAAATCAAAAAGCTGATGCACTGGCAAAGGCGGCAAACAGAAGGACAATAACCAACATTAGTCTCACATATACAGATTACAAAAATAAGATCAAACAATGTTAAAAGAAAATAGCAAACAATTCGGGATACGTTTACAAACAACAAACTGTACAAAATAAAGAACCAATATCTGATCGAAGACAGGAGGTGGTACTAAGCAGAGTTCGAATTGGACATCCACATCTTACACACAAACACTTACTCAAAACAGAAACTTCCCCTCCATGTATTTCTTGTGATAAATTGCTTACTGCTAAGCACATCCAAACAGACTGCAAAAAATACAAAAAAGAGCAACAAATACGATGATATACAAAACCTTATGCTTTACAAAAACGTACATTTATCAAATAACAGGCTACCTGGAAGAAAGAGGCTGCACAATAGATAATATCTATAAACTATAAATATCTGTTATCCCAAATCTCTTCTTCATCTATTAGGATGTGTTTAACAGCGAGCATTTCATCACAAGAGATGCACCGAGGTGAAGTTTCTAAATACTGACTCAAAGCAGAAAATGCACCTCGTTGTATCTCTTGTGATCAATTGCTCACCGTTAAGCACATCCAAAAAATACTGCCAAAAAATACCAAAAAATACTATGCTGTATAAAACCTTACCAAACAATGCATCCATTTATATAGCTGGATATAAAAATGGCGCTTGAAATCATAAAAAAAAACTCAAAAGACTTCCTATCTAGAATAATAGCAATTAAGGAAAAATCCAAATCACCTTTACAGACATGAAATATCGGAAACCTTTCACGATTTGATAGAAGACCACAAAGTGGTAATCTTGGCCTTGCTTATTGGCCATGTAGGCATTAAGAGAAATCAAAAAGCTGATGCACTGGCAAAAGAGGCCACAAGAAGGACAATAACCAACATTAGAATCCTATATAGAGATCACAAAAATAAGATCACACAATACATTAAAAGAAAATGGTAAACAATTTAGGATACGTTTTCAAACAATGAACTGTACGAACATCAGTCGACAGTCAAACTTGAAAATAAAGAACCATTACCTAAACACAGAATGTAGTGCTAAGCAGAGTCCGAATTGGACATACACATCTTACATATGAATACTATTACTAAAAGAAAAAAACTGCATCTCGTTGTATCTCTTGTGATCAGTTACTTACTGTTAAGGACATCCAAATAGACTGCAAAAAATCCAAAAAAACGTATAACAAATACTATGGTGTAGAAAACGTTACCATGATTTTCAAAAATGTATCTTTTTCTCAAATAATGAGCTACCTGGAAGAAAGAGGCTGCACAATACATATAAACTATATCTATAAAAAACATATGTTTACTTTGAAAATATAAATTTGCGTACAAAACATCAGTAGTTGAAGCCATAAAGTTGCGTACAAAACGGTTGGGTTTTGGTGTTGAGTGATCTATGGAGATTGTCATGTCGCTGAACAAAATCAACCAACCAATAGTTTCGGCATTAATGATCCATAATGATTGATATGCCGGTTAAATAACCAACCAATCAAGCAATCCAAACATTTTCCCATATTGCGTGTCCCATAAATCTCATAAACCATAATTTTCCTTTTTGTTTCCATCTTTCTTAAAGTTTTCTCGTTACTCACATGTTCAGTCCATGGCATTCTCAGCATCCTTATGTAGGATAACATTTCTGGTTTCCAACCAAATCCAAGGAGCCTCCTCTATCCTAATATTTAACCCATAAAGCTGGGTAGAAGAAGAGGTGAATTTTTCAAGGTTGCAAAAGTGAACGTAAATAACTCGACTCGTTGATTTCGCTTTACCTGCTGCTAACCTTTAAACTACGTGTGTATCCTTTTTTTTTAATACGTTATGAAAATTGATCGCCATTGATCTTCGAGTATTTCACCACAATTGTACAATGGCGGCTCTCGATCCCCCAAATGAGCCTCTTGAAAATATTCTAATGTTTGACATTTGGCCTCGAGATGACGTCTTCTGGCATTACCACTTAGGAATGACTTTTTTGTCTTTCCTTCAATGGGATGACTTCTTTCTCTTTCTTTTCTCGGAGGGACATCAACGCCTTTCCTTCTTGTTGTAATCTATTGGTTGACAATATATATATATATATATATATATATATATATATATATATATATATATATATATATGCTATGGGATTTTACTCATAATAATAATGGACTATTCCATACTTAATAAATACTGCGCCTCAGGGTAGGCAAAGCCAGTCGTTCACCTTTCTGAAGCGACTGTTCGGTTCAACTCTCTTCCTACGGGGCAGGAGGAACCCGAAGGAGGCTGCGCCGAAGGGCGGAGTCTCCTTCAGGGAGGTTAAACCGGCCCAGAACCCGTTTATGCGGGTTCAAATGGGCTATTTTTGGCCGGGCCTAATGGCTCGGGAATGCCCACGTTAAAAAGGCCTTGTGCCACATGACACCCTCGTGGGGGGTGACTGAATATTGTCAGTCGTTCACCCTCTGAACTGACTGTTCGGTTCAACTCTCTTCCTCCGGGCGAGAGGAACCCGAAGGAGGCTACGCCGAAGGGCGGAGTCTCCTGGGGGGAGGTTAAACTGGCCCAGAACCCGTTTATACGGGTTCAAATGGGCTATTTTTTGGCCGAGCCTAATGGCTCAGGAATGCCCACGTTAAAAAGGCCTTGTGCCACATGAGCACCCTCGTGGGGGTGACTGAATATCGTCAGTCGTTCACCTCTGAACTGACTGCACGGTTCAACTCTCTTCCTCCGGGCGAGAGGAACCCGAAGGAGGCTACGCCGAAGGGCGGAGTCTCCTTCGGGGAGGTAAAACTCGGCCCAGAACCCGTTTATACGGGTTCAAATGGGCTATTTTTGGCCGAGCCCTAATGGCTTGGGAATGCCCACGTTAAAAAAGGCCTTGTGCCATGACACCCTCGTGGGGGTGACTGAATATTGTCAGTCGTTCACCTCTGAACTGACTGCACGGTTCAACTCTCTTCCTACGGGCGGGAGGAACCCGAAGGAGGCTGCGCCGAAGGGCGGAGTCTCCTTCGGGGAGGTCGCTCGGCCCAGAACCCGTTTATACGGGTTCAAATGGGCTATTTTTGGCCGAGCCTAATGGCTTGGGAATGCCCACGTTAAAAAGGCCTTGTGCCACATGACACCCTCGTGGGGGGTGACTGAATATTGTCAGTCGTTCACCTCTGAACTGACTGCACGGTTCAACTCTCTTCCTACGGGCGAGAGGAACCCGAAGGAGGCTACGCCGAAGGGCGGAGTCTCCTTCGGGGAAAATCGCCGGCCCAGAACCCGTTTATACGGGTTCAAATGGAGCTATTTTTGGCCGAGCCTAATGGCTTGGGAATGCCCACGTTAAAAAGGCCTTGTGCCACATGACACCCTCGTGGGGGGGGTGACTGAATATTGTCAGTCGTTCACCTCTGAACTGACTGTTCGTTTCAACTCTCTTCCTACGGGCGGGAGGAACCCGAAGGAGGCTACGCCGAAGAGTCTCCTTCGGAGCTTCGCCCAGAACCCGTTTATACGGGTTCAAATGGGCTATTTTTGGCCGAGCCTAATTCAGGAATGCCCACGTTAAAAAGGCCGGCCCTGACACCCTCGTGGGGGTGACTGAATATTGTCAGTCGTTCACCTCTGAACTGACTGCGGTTAAACTCTCTTCCTACGGGCGAGAGGAACCCGAAGGAGGACGCCTAGGGCGGAGTCTCCTTCGAGGTAAACTCGGCCCTGAACCCGTTTATACGGGTTCAAATGGGCTATTTTGGCCGAGCCTAATTCGGGAATGCCCATGTTAAAAGGCCTTGTGTCACATGACACCCTCGTGGGGGGGGTGACTGAATATTGTCAGTCGTTCACCTCTGAACTGACTGTTTGGTTCAACTCTCTTCCTACGGGCAGGAACCCGAAGGAGAGCTTCGCCGAAGGGCGAGTCTCCAAGGGAGGCTCGGCCCTGAACCTGTTTATACGGGTTCAAATGGGCTATTTCTCCTAATGGCTCGGGAATGGTTAAAAAGGCCTTGTGCCCTGAACCCCGTGGGGGTGACTGAATATCGGTCGTTCACCTCAAAACCGACTGTTCGGTTAAACTCTCTTCCTACGGGCAGGAGGGAACCCAGGGAGAGCTACGCCGAGGGGCTAATCTCCTTCGGGGAATGAACCCGTTTATACGTGTTCAAAAAAAGGGCCCCTTAAAAAAAGGCCTTGTGCCACATGACACCCTCGTGGGGGGGTGACTGAATATTGTCAGTCGTTCACCTCTGAACAGACTGCTCGGTTTGAACTCTCTTCCTACGGGCGGGAGGAACCCGAAGGAGGCTACGCCGAAGGGTGGAGTCTCCTTCGGGGAGGTAAAACCGGCCCTGAACCCCGTTTATACGGGTTCAAATGGGCTATTTTGGCCGAGCCTATTGGCTGGGGAATGCCCACGTTAAAAAGGCCTTGTGCCACATGACACCCTCGTGGGGTGTGACTGAATATCGTCAGTCGTTCAAGTCCGAACCGACTGTTCGGTTAAACTCTCTTCCTACGGGCGAGAGGAACCCGAAGGAGGTCACGCCGAAGGGTGGATTCTCCTTCGGGGAGGTAAAACCGGCCCTGAACCCGTTTATACGGGTTCAAATGGTCTATTTTTTGGCCGAGCCTAATGGCTCGGAAATGCCCACGTTAAAAAGGCCTTGTGCCACATGACGCCCTCGTGGGGGGGTGACTGGATATCGTCAGTAGTTCAAGTGAGTCAGTAGTTCAAGTCGAGTCAAGAGTCGAGTCAGAGGCAGTCCGAAACAGAGTCGCGTTCAGACAATTACTGCAAGACATTGGAATAGTGATACTGGTCGAGACTACAATTGTTCTCTCTAATAAACCTGATTGTTCATACTAACACTTCTACTTCTCTGTATATATTCCTGTTTGTAATATATCTGTGTTATTTATTCCATACCTGTGTTCGCCTTCTTCTTTATTGGTTCTACCTTGGACTATCCCCGTGGTACAAGGAACCGGACCGTAACAATATATATATATATATATATATATATATATATATATATATATGAAAAAAGTGAGATGTAGAAGGGGTAAAGAAGAAAGAATGAAGTAGGCTTATTATCAAGAGACGAAAAGCGAAAAAAAGGCCTAAAGATTGCGACATGTTCAAATAATTTATGGCGAGATAGAGCAGAAGAAAGATAAAAGATTCGAAGTATCTATACATTTCTTGTAACCTAGAAAAAGTTACTGAATGCGGAATAACCTAAACGGAGGTTGGAAATGAAATGGTAGGAATTATTTCGTCTTTCTTCCTAAGGATGATATATTTCAACTTTACTTAATCCGGGTGCCTTTTTTGCCTTTCCTTTTATATTTCCTTCATTAGGATGATCCCAATTGTCTCTCCTTCCTAGCGATTGCATTTTTTTTATTTCCCTTCCTTTGGATAATGATTTTCATGCCGTTTTCGGGGTGATTTCTGTTGCCTTTTCCTCCTCAGGAAGACTTCTTTTGTCTTTCCATCCTAAAAACGACATCTTTTGCCTTTTCTTCTTAAAAAAACTATTTCTTTTGTCTTTTCTTCCTAAAAGCGACTACTTTTGTATTTCCTTCCTAAAAACGACTCCTTTTATCTTTCCTTCATAAAAACGATTTCTTTTGCATTTTCTTCCTAAAAAAAAGACTACTTTTGTCTTTTCTTCCTAAAAACGACTACTTTTGTCTATCCTTCCTAAAAAAAAACGACTACTTTTATCTTTCCTTCATAAAAACGACTTTTTTGCCTTTTCTTCTATTATTTTGGGCTTCCTCGGATGAGGTTTTTGCATTTTTTACTATGGATGACATATTTTATTTTTCCTTCCTCGGAATGAATTTTTGCCTTTCATTCCTCAGGATGACTTATTTTCTTTCCATTCTCGTAATGACTGTATTTTTCTTCCAGACGTGTCATTTATTGTTCTTCCTTATTATGGATGACTTCTTTGCCTTTCTATCCTAAGGATGACATATTTTTCTTTCCTTATCTGGGAATGATATGTTTTTCTTTCCTTCCATGGATGACTATTTTGGTGAAACTTTCTTGGATTGATTACTTTGATTTTCCTTCCTAATGAATAATTTTAGTCTTCCATGCTTAGGAATGAGTTTTATCTTTTCGGCCTAAGGATAACTTGTTTATCTTTTTTTACTCTACATGATTTCTTCTATCATTCTTTCTATGGAGGTAACACTTTTATCTTTCCTTCCTGCTGATAATATTTCCTTTCTCTGTAAGAATTTTTCGCCTTTACTTCCACTGCTTTTGTTTTTCCTTCATCAAGGTGTCTTCGTTGGACATTCCTTCCTCGGTACGACATTCTTCTCTATTTCTGGATGACTTTCCAGTCACCCATCTTCGTGATGACTTCTTTTATCATTCCTATGTTGTGTAAACGTCTTTTTATTTCTTTCCTTGGGATGAGTACGTTTGTTAATCCTTCATCAAGGTGCCTTATTTGCTCTTTCCTTCTGCGGTAGGACATTCTTCTCTTTTTTTGAATGACTTTGAAGTCACCCTTCATCGTGATGACTTCTTTTATCATTCCTATGTTGAGGAAAAGTCTTCGTATTTCTTTCCATGGGATGACTACTTTTGTTTCTCCTTCATCAAGGTGCCTTATTTGCTCTTGCCTTCCTGGGTACGATATTCTTCTCATTTTCTGGATGACTTTCCAGTCACCCTTCTTTGTGTTGACTTCTTTTATCATTCCTATGTTGAGTAAACGTCTTTGTATTTCTTTCCTTGGGACGACTACGTTTGTTTTTCCTTCATCAAGATGTCTTCTTTGATCTTTCCTTCCGCGGTAGGACATTCTTCTCTTTTTTTGAATGACTTTGAAGTCACACTTCTGCGTGATGACTTCTTTTATCATTCCTATGTTGAGTAAACGTCTTTGCATTTCTTTCCTTGGAAAGACTACTTTGGTTTTTCCTTCATCAATATGTCTTCTTTGCTCATCCTTCCTCAGTACGACTTTCTTCGCTTTTCTGAATGGCTTTCCGGTCAGCCTTCTTCGTGATGACATCTTTTATCAATCCTATGTTGAGGTAACGTCTTTGTATTTCTTTCCTTGGAATGATTACTTTTGTTTTTCCTTCATCAAGATGTCTTCTTTGCTCTTTCCTTACGCGGTACGACATTCCTCTATTTTTCTGGATGATTTTCCAGTCACTCTTCTTCCTGATGACATCTTTTATCATTCATATGTTGAGTAACCGGCTTTGTATTTCCTTCCTTGGGACGACTACATTTGTTTTTCCTTCATCAAGATGTTTTTATTGCTCTTTCCTTCCTCGGTACGACATTCTTCTCTTTTTCTGAATGACTTTCCAGTCACCCTTCTTCGTGATGACTTCATTTATCATTCCTATGTTGAGTAAACGTCTTTGTATTTCTTTCCTTGGAAAGACTACTTTTGTTTTTCCTTCATCAAGATGTCTTCTTTGCTCTTTCCTTACGCGGTACGACATTCTTCACATTTTCTGGATGATTTTCCACTCACCCTTCTTCGTGATGACAGCTTTTATCATTCTTATGTTGAGTAACCGTCTTTGTATTTCTTTCCTTGGGATGACTACGTTTGTTTTTCCTTCATCAAGATGTCTTCTTTGATCTTTTATCATTCCTATGTTGAGTAAACGTCTTTGTATTTCTTTCCGTGGAATGACTACTTTTGTTTTCCTTCATCAAGATGTCTTCTTTTTGCTCTTTCCTTCCTCAGTAAGACATTCTTCTCTTTTTTCTGAATGACTTTCCAGCCAAACTTTTTCGTGATGGTTTCTTTTATCATTGCTATGTTGAGTAAACGTCTTTGTATTTCTTTCCGTGGAATGACTACTTTTTTTTTCCTTCATCAAGATGTCTTCTTTACTCTTTCCTTCCTCGGTACGACATTCTTCTCTTTTCTGAATAACTTTCCAGCCAACCTTCTTCGTGATTACTTTTTTTGTCTTACCTATATTGAGTAAACGTCTTTGTCTTTCTTTCCTTGGGTTGTTGACTTTTTTTTCCTTCATCAAGATGTCTTCTTTGCTCTTTCCTTGCTCGGTACGATATTCTTCTCTTTTTCTGAATGACTTTCCAGCCAACCTTCTTGGTGATGATTTCTTTTATCTTTCCTATATTGAGTAAACGTCTTTGTCTTTCTTTCCTTGGAATGACTACGTTTGTTTTTCCTTCATCAAGATGTCTTCTTTACTCTTTCCTTCCTCGGTAAGACATTCTTTCTTTTTCTGAATGACTTTCCAGCCAAACTTTTTCGTGATGGTTTCTTTTTTTATCATTGCTATGTTGAGTAAACGTCTTTGTATTTTCTTTCCGTGGAATGACTACTTTTTGTTTTCCTTCATCAAGATGTCTTCTTTACTCTTTCCTTCCTCGGTACGACATTCTTTCTTTTCTGAATAACTTTCCAGCCAACCTTCTTCGTGATTACTTCAATTGTCATACCTATATTGAGTAAACGTCTTTGTCTTTCTTTCCTTGGGTTGACGACGTTTGTTTTTCCTTCATCAAGATGTCTTCTTTACTCTTTCCTCCCTCGGTACGACATTCTTCTCTTTTTCTGAATAACTTTCCAGCCAACCTTCTTCGTGTTTACTTCAGTTGTCATACCTATATTGAGTAAACGTCTTTGTCTTTCTTTCCTTGGGTTGACTACGTTTGTTTTTCCTTCATCAAGATGTCTTCTTTACTCTTTCCTTCGTCGGTATGACATTCTTCTCTTTTTCTGAATGACTTTCCAGCCAACCTTCTTCGTCATTACTTCAATTGTCATACCTATATTGAGTAAACGTCTTTGTCTTTCTTTCCTTGGAATGACTACGTTTGTTTTTCCTTTATCAAGATGTCTTCTTTGCTCTTTCCTTCCTCGGTACGATATTCTTCTCTTTTTCTGAATGACTTTCCAGCCAACCTTCTTGGTGATGATTTCTTTTATCTTTCCTATGTTGCGTAAACGTCTTTGTATTTCTTTCCTTGGAATGACTACTTTTGTTTTTCCTTCATCAAGATGTCTTCTTTACTCTTTCCTTCCTCGGTAAGACATTCTTCTCTTTTTCTGAATGACTTTCCAGCCAAACTTTTTCGTGATGGTTTCTTTTATCATTGCTATGTTGAGTAAACGTCTTTGTATTTCTTTCCGTGAAATGACTACTTTTGTTTTTCCTTCATCAAGATGTCTTCTTTACTCTTTCCTTCCTCGGTACGACATTCTTCTCTTTTTCTGAATAACTTTCCAGCCAACCTTCTTCGTGATTACTTCAATTGTCATACCTATATTGAGTAAACGTCTTTGTCTTTCTTTCCTTGGGTTGACGACGTTTGTTTTTGCTTCATCAAGATGTCTTCTTTGCTCTTTCCTTCCTCGGTAAGACATTCTTCTCTTTTTCTGAATGACTTTCCAGCCAAACTTCTTCGTGATGGTTTCTTTTATCATTGCTATGTTGAGTAAACGTCTTTGTATTTCTTTCCATGGAATGACTACTTTTGTTTTTCCTTCATCAAGATGTCTTCTTTACTCTTTCCTTCGTCGGTATGACATTCTTCTCTTTTTCTGAATGACTTTCCAGCCAACCTTCTTCGTCATTACTTCAATTGTCATACCTATATTGAGTAAACGTCTTTGTCTTTCTTTCCTTGGGTTGACTACGTTTGTTTTTCCTTCATCAAGATGTCTTCTTTACTTTTTCCTTCGTCGGTATGACATTCTTCTCTTTTTCTGAATGACTTTCCAGCCAACCTTCTTCGTCATTACTTCAATTGTCATACCTATATTGAGTAAACGTCTTTGTCTTTCTTTCCTTGGGTTGACTACGTTTGTTTTTCCTTTATCAAGATGTCTTCTTTGCTCTTTCCTTCCTCGGTACGATATTCTTCTCTTTTCTGAATGACTTTCCAGCCAACCTTCTTGGTGATGATTTCTTTTATCTTTCCTATGTTGCGTAAACGTCTTTGTATTTCTTTCCTTGGAATGACTACTTTTGTTTTCCTTCATCAAGATGTCTTCTTTACTCTTTCCTTCCTCAGTAAGACATTCTTCTCTTTTTCTGAATGACTTTTTCAGTCTTTGTCTTTTTTCCCAAACTTCTTCCTTGATGGTTTCTTTTTATCATTGCTATGTTGAGTAAACGTCTTTTGTATTTCTTTCCGTGGAATGACTACTTTTGTTTTTCCTTCATCAAGATGTCTTCTTTACTCTTTCCTTCCTCGGTACGACATTCTTCTCTTTTTCTGAATAACTTTCCAGCCAACCTTCTTCGTGATTACTTCAATTGTCATACCTATATTGAGTAAACGTCTTTGTCTTTCTTTCCTTGGGTTGACTACGTTTGTTTTTCCTTCATCAAGATGTCTTCTTTACTTTTTCCTTCGTCGGTATGACATTCTTCTCTTTTTCTGACATTAACTGAATGACTTTCCAGCCAACCTTCTTCGTCATTACTTCAATTGTCATACCTATATTGAGTAAACGTCTTTGTCTTTCTTTCCTTGGGTTGACTACGTTTGTTTTTCCTTTATCAAGATGTCTTCTTTGCTCTTTCCTTCCTCGGTACGATATTCTTCTCTTTTTCTGAATGACTTTCCAGCCAACCTTCTTGGTGATGATTTCTTTTATCTTTCCTATGTTGCGTAAACGTCTTTGTATTTCTTTCCTTGGAATGACTACTTTTGTTTTTCCTTCATCAAGATGTCTTCTTTACTTTTTCCTTCGTCGGTGTGACATTCTTCTTTTTTTCTGAATGATTTTTTCCAGCCAACCTTCTTCGTCATTACTTCAATTGTCATACCTATGTTGAGTAAACGTCTTTGTATTTCTTTCCTTGGGTTGACTACGTTTGTTTTTCTATTATCAAGATGTCTTCTTTGCTCTTTCCTTCCTCGGTACGATATTCTTCTCTTTTTCTGAATGACTTTCCAGCCAACCTTCTTCGTGATTACTTCAATTGTCATACATATGTTGAGTAAACGTCTTTGTATTTCTTTCCTTGGGTTGACTACGTTTGTTTTTCCTTCATCACGATGTCTTCTTTGCTCTTTCCTTCCTCGGTACGACATTCTTCTCTTTTTCTGAATGACTTTCCAGCCACCCTTCGTCGTGATGATTTCTTTTATCATTCCTATGTTGAGTAAACGTCTTTGTATTTCTTTCCTTGGAATGACTACTTTTGTTTTTCCTTCATCAAGATGTCTCCTTTACTCTTTCCTTCGTTGGTATGACATAATTCTCTTTTTCTAAATGATTTTCCAGCCAAACTTCTTCGTGATTATTTCAATTGTCATACCTATGTTGACTAAATGTCTTTGTATTTCTTTCCTTGGGATGACTACGTTTGTTTTTCCTTCATCAAGATGTCTTCTTTGCTCTTTCCTTCCTCGGTACGACATTCTTCTCGTTTTCTGAATGACTTTCCAGCCAACCTTCTTCGTGATGATTTCTTTTATCATTCCTCTGTTGAGTAAACGTCTTTGTATTTCTTTCTTGGGATGACTACTTTTGTTTTTCCTTCTTCAAGATGTCTTCACTCTTTCCTTACGCGGTACGACATTTTTTCAATTTCTGGATGAGTTTCCAGCCAACCTTCTTCGTCATTACTTCAATTGTCATACCTATGTTGAGTAAACGTCTTTGTATTTCTTTCCGTGGAATGACTACTTTTGTTTTTCCTTCATCAAGATGTCTTCTTTGCTCTTTCCTTGCTCGGTACGATATTCTTCTCTTTTTCTGAATGACTTTCCAGCCAACCTTCGTCGTGATGATTTCTTTAATCATTCCTATGTTGAGTAAACGCCTTTGTATTTCTTTCCTTGGAATGACTACTTTTGTTTTCCTTCATCAAGATGTCTTCTTTACTCTTTCCTTCCTCGGTACGACATTCTTCTCTTTTTCTGAATGACTTTCCAGCCAACCTTCGTCGTGATGATTTCTTTAATCTTTCCTATGTTGAGTAAACGTCTTTGTATTTCTTTCCTTGGAATGACTACTTTTTGTTTTCCTTCATCAAGATGTCTTCTTTACTCTTTCCTTCGTCGGTATGACATAATTCTCTTTTTCTGAATGATTTTCCAGCCAACCTTCTTCGTCATGGTTTCAATTGTCATACATATGTTGAGTAAACATCTTTGTATTTCTTTCCTTGGGATGACTACTTTTGTTTTTCCTTCATCAAGATGTCTTCTTTGCTCTTTCCTTCCTCGGTACGACATTCTTCTCTTTTTCTGAATGACTTTCCAGCCAACCTTCTTCGTGATGATTTCTTTTATCATTCCTCTGTTGAGTAAACGTCTTTGTATTTTTCTTTCTTGCGATGAATACTTTTGTTTTTCCTTCTTCAAGATGTCTTCTTTACTCTTTCCTTCGTCGGTACGACATTTTCTCTATTTCTGGATGAGTTTTCCAGCCAACCTTCTTCGTCATTACTTCAATTGTCATACCTATGTTGAGTAAACATCTTTGTATTTTCTTTCCTTGGGATGACTACTTTTGTTTTTCCTTCATCAAGATGTCTTCTTTGCTCTTTCCTTCCTCAGTAAGACATTCTTCTCTTTTCTGAATGACTTTCCAGCCAAACTTTTTCGTGATGGTTTCTTTTATCATTACCTATGTTGAGTAAACGTCTTTGTATTTCTTTCCGTGGAATGACTACTTTTGTTTTTCCTTCATCAAGATGTCTTCTTTACTCTTTCCTTCCTCGGTACGACATTCTTCTCTTTTTCTGAATAACTTTCCAGCCAACCTTCTTCGTGATTACTTCAATTGTCATACCTATATTGAGTAAACGTCTTTGTCTTTCTTTCCTTGGGTTGACGACGTTTGTTTTTCCTTCATCAAGATGTCTTCTTTACTCTTTCCTTCGTCGGTACGACATTCTTCTCTTTTTCTGAATAACTTTCCAGCCAACCTTCTTCGTGATTACTTCAGTTGTCATACCTATATTGAGTAAACGTCTTTGTCTTTCTTTCCTTGGGTTGACTACGTTTGTTTTTCCTTCATCAAGATGTCTTCTTTACTCTTTCCTTCCTCGGTACGACATTCTTCTCTTTTTCTGAATAACTTTCCAGCCAACCTTCTTCGTGATTACTTCAGTTGTCATACCTATATTGAGTAAACGTCTTTGTCTTTCTTTCCTTGGGTTGACTACGTTTGTTTTTCCTTCATCAAGATGTCTTCTTTACTCTTTCCTTCGTCGGTATGACATTCTTCTCTTTTTCTGAATGACTTTCCAGCCAACCTTCTTCGTCATTACTTCAATTGTCATACCTATATTGAGTAAACGTCTTTGTCTTTCTTTCCTTGGAATGACTACGTTTGTTTTTCCTTTATCAAGATGTCTTCTTTGCTCTTTCCTTCATCGGTACGATATTCTTCTCTTTTTCTGAATGACTTTCCAGCCAACCTTCTTGGTGATGATTTCTTTTATCTTTCCTATGTTGCGTAAACGTCTTTGTATTTCTTTCCTTGGAATGACTACTTTTGTTTTTCCTTCATCAAGATGTCTTCTTTACTCTTTCCTTCCTCAGTAAGACATTCTTCTCTTTTTCTGAATGACTTTCCAGCCAAACTTTTTCGTGATGGTTTCTTTTATCATTTGCTATGTTGAGTAAACGTCTTTGTATTTCTTTCCGTGAAATGACTACTTTTGTTTTTTCCTTCATCAAGATGTCTTCTTTACTCTTTCCTTCCTCGGTACGACATTCTTCTCTTTTTCTGAATAACTTTCCAGCCAACCTTCTTCGTGATTACTTCAATTATCATACCTATATTGAGTAAACGTCTTTGTCTTTCTTTCCTTGGGTTGACGACGTTTCTTTCCTTTTTTTGCTTCATCAAGATGTCTTCTTTGCTCTTTCCTTCCTCGGTAAGACATTCTTCTCTTTTTCTGAATGACTTTCCAGCCAAACTTCTTCGTGATGGTTTCTTTTTATCATTGCTATGTTGAGTAAACGTCTTTGTATTTCTTTCCATGGAATGACTACTTTTGTTTTCCTTCATCAAGATGTCTTCTTTACTCTTTCCTTCGTCGGTATGACATTCTTCTCTTTTTCTGAATGACTTTCCAGCCAACCTTCTTCGTCATTACTTCAATTGTCATACCTATATTGTAAAGTCTTTCTTTCTTTAAACGTCTTTGTCTTTCTTTCCTTGGGTTGACTACGTTTGTTTTTCCTTCATCAAAGATGTCTTCTTTTACTTTTTCCTTCGTCGGTATGACATTCTTCTCTTTTTCTGAATGACTTTCCAGCCAACCTTCTTCGTCATTACTTCAATTGTCATACCTATATTGAGTAAACGTCTTTGTCTTTCTTTCCTTGGGTTGACTACGTTTGTTTTTCCTTTATCAAGATGTCTTCTTTGCTCTTTCCTTCCTCGGTACGATATTCTTCTCTTTTTCTGAATGACTTACCAGCCAAACTTCTTGGTGATGATTTCTTTTATCTTTCCTATGTTGCGTAAACGTCTTTGTATTTCTTTCCTTGGAATGACTACTTTTGTTTTTCCTTCATCAAGATGTCTTCTTTACTCTTTCCTTCCTCGGTAAGACATTCTTCTCTTTTTCTGAATGACTTTCCAGCCAAACTTCTTCGTGATGGTTTCTTTTATCATTGCTATGTTGAGTAAACGTCTTTGTATTTCTTTCCGTGGAATGACTACTTTTGTTTTTCCTTCATCAAGATGTCTTCTTTACTCTTTCCTTCCTCGGTACGACATTCTTCTCTTTTCTGAATAACTTTCCAGCCAACCTTCTTCGTGATTACTTCTTTTTATCATACCTATATTGAGTAAACGTCTTTGTCTTTCTTTCCTTGGGTTGACTACGTTTGTTTTTCCTTCATCAAGATGTCTTCTTTACTTTTTCCTTCGTCGGTATGACATTCTTCTCTTTTTCTGAATGACTTTCCAGCCAACCTTCTTCGTCATTACTTCAATTGTCATACCTATATTGAGTAAACGTCTTTGTCTTTCTTTCCTTGGGTTGACTACGTTTGTTTTTCCTTTATCAAGATGTCTTCTTTGCTCTTTCCTTCCTCGGTACGATATTCTTCTCTTTTTCTGAATGACTTTCCAGCCAACCTTCTTGGTGATGATTTCTTTTATCTTTCCTATGTTGCGTAAACGTCTTTGTATTTCTTTCCTTGGAATGACTACTTTTGTTTTTCCTTCATCAAGATGTCTTCTTTACTTTTTCCTTCGTCGGTGTGACATTCTTCTCTTTTTCTGAATGATTTTCCAGCCAACCTTCTTCGTCATTACTTCAATTGTCATACCTATGTTGAGTAAACGTCTTTGTATTTCTTTCCTTGGGTTGACTACGTTTGTTTTTCCATTATCAAGATGTCTTCTTTGCTCTTTCCTTCCTCGGTACGATATTCTTCTCTTTTTCTGAATGACTTTCCAGCCAACCTTCTTCGTGATTACTTCAATTGTCATACATATGTTGAGTAAACGTCTTTGTATTTCTTTCCTTGGGTTGACTACGTTTGTTTTTCCTTCATCACGATGTCTTCTTTGCTCTTTCCTTCCTCGGTACGACATTCTTCTCTTTTTCTGAATGACTTTCCAGCCACCCTTCGTCGTGATGATTTCTTTTATCATTCCTATGTTGAGTAAACGTCTTTGTATTTCTTTCCTTGGAATGACTACTTTTGTTTTTCCTTCATCAAGATGTCTCCTTTACTCTTTCCTTCGTTGGTATGACATAATTCTCTTTTTCTAAATGATTTTCCAGCCAAACTTCTTCGTGATTATTTCAATTGTCATACCTATGTTGACTAAATGTCTTTGTATTTCTTTCCTTGGGATGACTACGTTTGTTTTTCCTTCATCAAGATATCTTCTTTGCTCTTTCCTTCCTCGGTACGACATTCTTCTCGTTTTCTGAATGACTTTCCAGCCAACCTTCTTCGTGATGATTTCTTTTATCATTCCTCTGTTGAGTAAACGTCTTTGTATTTCTTTTCTTGCGATGACTACTTTTTTTTTTCCTTCTTCAAAGATGTCTTCTTTACGACATTTTCTCTTTCCTTACGCGGTACGACATTTTTTCTCAATTTCTGGATGAGTTTCCAGCCAACCTTCTTCGTCATTACTTCAATTGTCATACCTATGTTGAGTAAACGTCTTTGTATTTCTTTCCTTGTGATGACTACTTTTGTTTTTCCTTCATCAAGATGTCTTCTTTGCTCTTTCCTTCCTCGGTACGACATTCTTCTCTTTTTCTGAATGACTTTCCAGCCAACCTTCGTCGTGATGATTTCTTTAATCATTCCTATGTTGAGTAAACGCCTTTGTATTTCTTTCCTTGGAATGACTACTTTTGTTTTTCCTTCATCAAGATGTCTTCTTTACTCTTTCCTTCCTCGGTACGACATTCTTCTCTTTTTCTGAATGACTTTCCAGCCAACCTTCGTCGTGATGATTTCTTTAATCATTCCTATGTTGAGTAAACGCCTTTGTATTTCTTTCCTTGGAATGACTACTTTTGTTTTTCCTTCCTCAAGATGTCTTCTTTACTCTTTCCTTCGTCGGTATGACATAATTCTCTTTTTCGGAATGATTTTCCAGCCAACCTTCTTCGTCATTACTTCAATTGTCATACATATGTTGAGTAAACATCTTTGTATTTCTTTCCTTGGGATGACTACTTTTGTTTTTCCTTCATCAAGATGTCTTCTTTGCTCTTTCCTTCCTCGGTACGACATTCTTCTCTTTTTTCTGAATGACTTTCCAGCCAACCTTCTTCGTGATGATTTCTTTTATCATTCCTCTGTTGAGTAAACGTCTTTGTATTTCTTTCTTGCGATGAATACTTTTGTTTTTCCTTCTTCAAGATGTCTTCTTTACTCTTTCCTTACGCGGTACGACATTTTTCTCTATTTCTGGATGAGTTTCCAGCCAACCTTCTTCGTCATTACTTCAATTGTCATACCTATGTTGAGTAAACATCTTTGTATTTCTTTCCTTGGGATGACTACTTTTGTTTTCCTTCATCAAGATGTCTTCTTTGCTCTTTCCTTCCTCGGTACGACATTCTTCTCGTTTTCTGAATGACTTTCCAGCCAACCTCCTTCGTGATGATTTCTTTTATCATTCCTCTGTTGAGTAAACGTCTTTGTATTTCTTTCTTGCGATGACTACATTTGTTTTTCCTTCTTCAAGATGTCTTCTTTACTTTTTCCTTACGCGGTACGACATTTTTCTCTATTTCTGGATGAGTTTCCAGCCAACCTTCTTCGTCATTACTTCTATTGTCATACCTATGTTGAGTAAACATCTTTGTATTTCTTTCCTTGGGATGACTACTTTTGTTTTTCCTTCATCAAGATGTCTTCTTTGCTCTTTCCTTCCTCGGTACGACATTCTTCTCGTTTTCTGAATGACTTTCCAGCCAACCTTCTTCGTGATGATTTCTTTTATCATTCCTCTGTTGAGTAAACGTCTTTGTATTTCTTTCTTGCGATGACTACTTTTGTTTTTCCTTCTTCAAGATGTCTTCTTTACTCTTTCCTTACGCGGTACGACATTTTTCTCTATTTCTGGATGATTTTCCAGCCAACCTTCTTCGTCATTACTTCAATTGTCATACCTATGTTGAGTAAACATCTTTGTATTTCTTTCCTTGGGATGACTACTTTTGTTTTTCCTTCATCAAGATGTCTTCTTTGCTCTTTCCTTCCTCGGTACGACATTCTTCTCTTTTTCTGAATGACTTTCCAGCCAACCTTCTTCGTGATGATTTCTTTTATCATTCCTATGTTGAGTAAACGCCTTTGTATTTCTTTCCTTGGAATGACTACTTTTGTTTTTCCTTCAACAAGATGTCTTTTTTACTCTTTCCTTCCTCGGTACGACATTCTTCTCTATTTCTGAATGACTTTCCAGCCAACCTTCTTCGTGATGTTTTCTTTTATCATTCCTATGTTGAGTAAACGTCTTTGTATTACTTTCCTTGGAATGACTACTTTTGTTTTTCCTTCATCAAGATGTCTTCTTTACTCTTTCCTTCTTCGGTATGACATTCTTCTCTTTTTCTGAATAACTTTCCAGACAACCTTCTTCATGATTACTTCAATTATCATTCCTATGTTGAGTAAACGTCTTTGTATTTCTTTCCTTGGGCTGACTACGTTTGTTTTTCCTTCATCAAGATGTCTTCTTTACTCTTTCCTTCCTCGGTACGACATCCTTTTCTTTTTCTGAATGACTTTCCTGTCACCCTTCTTCGTGATGACTTCTTTTATCATTCCTATGTTGGCTAACCGTCTTTGTATTTCTTTCCTTGTGATGACTACTTTTATTTTTCCTTCATCAAGATGTATTATTTGCTCTTTCCTTCCTCGGTACGACATTCTTCTCTTTTTCTGAATGGCTTTCCAGTCACCTTTTTTTGTGATGACTGCTTTTATCATTGCTATGTTGTGTAAACGTCTTTGTATTTCTTTCCTTAGGATGACTTCTTTTGTTTTTCCTTCATCAAGATGTCTTCTTTCCTTTTTCCTTCCTCGGTATGACATTCTTCTCTTTTTCTTAATGACTTTCCTGTTACCCTTCTTCGTGATGTCATCTTTTATCATTTCTCTGTTGAGTAAACGTCTTTATATTTCTTTATTTGGGATGACTACTTTTGTCTTTCCTTCATCAAGATGTCTTCTTTGCTTGGAATGATTTTTGCTTATCATTTTTCCAGATGATTTCTTTTGCATTGATGTTCTTGGAATGATTTCTTCTTTCTTTTCTACCTAAGGCAGATTAATTTCGTCTATCATTCCTAGGGATCACTTTTTTTTTATCCAGACGTAGGATGACTACTTTGTCTTTTAGTCCAGAGACGACCTATTTTGACTCTCCATCTTTCTATTTCCTTATACGACATAATTTCTTCTGCCTTCCCATGAATATCTTCTTTGTCCTTGATTTCTTCTGTCTTCCTATGGATATCTTTTTTACCTTTCTTTTTGAAAACGTCTTTTGTCTTACCTTTCTCGGAATGAATATTTTGTCATAAGGCAACGGACCATATATGGCAGCTATATTCTATGCATGGGCGAATGGTATATAGAGATATGCAAGTTAGATTCCGAAGAGAATCACTGTCTCGTCCGACTTTTTAATCAGCTAATCTAGCAATGGCTTCAATAGTCTGTCAGTAGTCTTTCTACTCCATGTCAACTGAGAACTTTAGCCCGAGAATACGCAAAGTGTCACTTTCTTGTAAGGTAGCGTCAGCCTTGCTGATGGAAGACAGAGATGGATCTTTAATGATGTTTAATGGAGAGAAGTTTAGTTTTAGAGGCGTTAAAATTGATAAGCCATCTTTTGCCCCAGTTAACAAGTTTTGCCTTGATATCATTCTGTACATTATTTGCCATTTTTACCTTGTCTGGCTGATCAACCTTACAATCGAGACAGGAGTAAATGGTAGTGTCGTCTCTGTAGATGCAAATTTGAGAGATGATTTCATTGGGAAGTTTGTTAATAAATATTAAAAGCAGCGTAGGACCAAGCATGGAGATCTGGAGGAGACCCGCGTTAGTACAAAAGGATGTAGATGAGTGACCGTTCAGAGCAACTTTCATTTCACGATTTGATAGGAACCACTGGATCAGCTCAAATACGTGCACGGATACACCACAGCCTTTCAGCTTTTGGAAGAGGGATGAATGCCAGACCCTTTCAACGTTTTTAAGATGTCCCTTGCTACCGCCCGGGTTTCACCATTTTTATCTAGAACATGTTTGACTCTTTTTGCAATTATCGTTAGTACATTAGCAGTTGATCCGGAGAAACAAAATCCGTATTGCTTGTCTGAGAAAAGGTACTGTGATAAGAGATGACGAACCAATTCAGCATTGATTAGGGCCTCTAAGAGTTTCCCAAAAAGAGGCAGAAGGCCGATAGTTGTATGGGTCAGATAGTTCACCAGAGTTCTTAAAAACTGGAACAACAAACGGTGACTTCCAGCAAGCATTTATAATACAGTTTAGTGAGAACAGGAGCCAGTTCGGGAGCACACTTCTAAATGACTATTACAGGGATGTCTTTTGGAGATCAAGTTTAGAGATGATGACAGAAACCATGGAAGGGGTTATATGTATATCACTCAACAGAGAATCAGTTCTAAGTAGGAAGTTACGCATGGATACTCCAGTTGAGTCAAGAGTAGAGTTTGAGAACAATTTACGGGCAATGGATGGAGAGAAAAGTGCCTTTTCTATACTGTCAGTTATTGCGTCTAATATAATGCTGTATTGGAAAGAGAGGGAGCGATAAAGGAAAAAGAGATAGCTGACAGAGTTTAGTATCGAAAGACGGAAGCACATGAAAGAATAGTCAGCAGCCTCGAAAGACAATTTCCTGGCCATCGGAAGATTAATCTGGATGTAAACACCAAGGCCATGCATGTGAATGCTGGAATCTTTTCGATAAAGGGGAAGATACCCTGGAACCAAGAATTCATTGGTAGCAATGGAAGAATTCAAGTTGGTTTCGCAGGGGGCAAAGATATCTGGCGATTCTTCCACGAGAAAAGATTCTACGCTGCATAAGTTAGAATGGATACCACGAATAATAGATAAAGAATGATTGAATGGAATAGGTGTTTGAGGGTGGGAGTGTTGTTAGCTGGTTTCGTTTTATTTCTTTTTGTCGTGATTTCCATGTGACATGTTTTGAGGAGAGAGAGAAAAAAAAGACCACCATAATTGTCACTGTCGTCAGTGGCAATACAAATCAGCCAGCTCGTAGCTGAGAGCCAGAGCATAATGTGGCCTCAGGGTTGCCCACCGGAAATACATGCAGGGACACCTATCCATGCGTGACATGGCACTATAGATAGCCCGATATTATGCGACTGCTGATCAGAGCAGCCTCTTTAAGCGTTAAGGCTACTAACGACCAACGGAAACAGCAGACAGCAAACTGCCAACCCGATATCCTCATAATGGAAAGTCACAGCCATTGGCTAATCTAGAGAGTTAAGATAAATCATTGTCGCCCTGGTAAGAGAAAGAAAGAGAACCGGTAAACCATATCCTGAACAGGGAACAAGGGATAAGCCTCTACTCCTGTTCAGTAGACATGGAAGGCGTGCAGACCGGACGATAAGTAAGCCTATCAAATCCTATTAACCTGTAAAAAAATAAAATTATTTTGCTTTTGCTTTCTCGGGATGATTAATTTATTTTGTTTTTCTTACTGCGATATGATTTATTGTGATTTTCTTTCATGGGGGGTGATTTTATTCATTTAATTTGCTTTTGCTTCTCGAGGATGTTTTCTATACTTATTTTGCTTTTCATTCCTCGGAATGATTTATTTATTTTGCTTTTCATATCGCGATATGATTTATTGTACTTTTCCTTCCTGAGAATGATTTATTTACTTATATATAATTTGCTTTTCATTCCTGGCGATGATTTATGTATTTTACCATTCCTTCCTGGGAGGATTTATAGATTTATTTATTTTGCTTTTCCTTCCTGGGAATGATATACAGATTTATTTTGCTTTCCTTACTCGGGGTGATGTATTTATTTATTCAATTTTTGCTTCCTTGGAACGATTTAGTTATATAGTTATTTTGCTTTTCCTTTCTGGGTATAATTTATTTAAAAATTTTGTTATTCATTATTCGGGATGATTAATTGGTTTATTTTGCTGTTACTTAATGACGATTTAGTTCTTGTCATTTATCGTGAATGTTGTTTTACATTCTTGGAGATCATTTATTTATTTATTTTGCTTTTGCTTCCTCGTGATGATTTATCGTGCTATTCCTTCCTGGGGATGCTTTTATTTATTTATTTTGCTTTTGCTCCCTCGGGGTGTATTTATTTTGCTTTTGAAAGAAAGGTATTTATTGAAAGGGATGAAGTATTTATCTATTTATCGTGCATTTCTTCCCGGGGATAATTTATCTTGTTTTAGATTACTGAGGATGATTTATTTATTTATTTATTTTTATTTATTTATTTACTGTGCTTTTCCTTCCTGGGGATGATTTATTGTTATATTTTGCTCTTCCTTACTCTGGATGATTTTGTTTGTTTATTTTGTCCTTCCTGGCATGGAATAACCTTCCTTCCATTTAATGATTCCTCTTTTATATTCTTCCTTTTTTTTTTCTTTCCAACTTCAGACTAACTTCCTTTTTATTTCCTCACTAGAAATGACGTCTTTTATCTTTCCTTCCTATGGATAATTCTTTTGTCATTCCTTTCTCGAGTTATCTTTTGTCTTTCCTTCAGCGATATATCTTCTTTTGTTTTTCCTTCCTACAGATGACTTCTTTTTTCACTGAGATGATTTCTGTCATGTTTCTTTCCATTTTCGGTAGGCGATCTTTTTCTTTCCTCTTTTCTCTGGAGAGTTTCTTTTGCCTTACTTTTTCGTGGTGCTCTCTTTTGTGTTCTGTTCCCAGGATGATTTCTTTTCTCATTCCTATCTTTCTTTTATCTTTCTCACCCAGGGATGGCTAATTTTATCTTTCGTTTTTCGGTACGATTTCTTGTGTCTTCTTTTCCTAAGGATGACGTCTTTTGTCTTTAGTTCTTGGAGATGACTTCTTTTGTCGTAATTTTTGAAAGATGCCTTTATTTGCATTTCTTTCCCTTCATGAAAAAAGTCTTTCTTTCTCCTAGATGAATTATTTTGTTATTAATCGCTCGAATATGGCTTCTTTTTTCTTTTCATCCTCAGGATGACTTTTTTAGTTTTTTTTTTCTCCGGGATGACTTCTTTTACCTTTTCTTCCTTGGGATTATTCTTTTTTTCCTTCCCACCTATATTCGAGATAACGTTTTCTCTTTCTTACTTAATTGTGACTTAGAAAAGACAAAAGTCATCCCACGGAAGTAAAGAGAAAAAGTCTTTACTTCCTTGGTATGATTCTTTAGTTTTTCTTCTTCGCAAAGACTTCTCATGGCTTTCCTTCCTTGGGATGTCTCTCCTTCTTTGGAATGACTTATTGTCTTTCCTTTCTTGTGATGACTTCTTTTGTCCCTCCTTCATTGCGATGTTTTCTTTTGTCTTTCTTTCCTTAGCATGACTCTTTTTGTCTTTCTTTCCTCTGGGCCATACTTTTGTCTTTCATACTTGGGGGCGACATCTTTTATCATGCTTTCTTGAGATGACTTTGATTGCCTTTCCTCCTTTGTAACGACTTTTTTTGTCTTTTCTTCCTTGGGACAATTAGTTTTGGCTTTCTTTCCTCATGATAGCTTCTTTTGTCTTTCCTTCTTCCTGATGACACTTTTTTCCTACCTCGAACTGATATATTTTTTCGTTATTCCATATGCATTCTTTGACCTTTCTTTCCACGGGAAAACTTATTTTTCTTTTTTTCCTCACGACGAATTCTTTTGTCTGTCATTCATTTTTTTTATCTTTCTTTCCTCGGAGTGAGTTATTATTCTGACGTACCTATTAGAGAAGATTTTTGTTATTCCTTCCCTGTGATGTCTTCTCTTGCGTTTCCTTCTTTTGCGATGACTTATTTTGCCATTCCTTCCTTGGAATAACTGCTTTTGTCTTTCCAGAAGGCAAACTTATTTTGTCTTGCCTTCATTAAGACGACTTCTTTTGTCTTTCCTTCCTTGTAATGACTTCTTTTGTCTTTCCTTCCTTGGAATGAACATTTTTTTTCTTTGTTTCCTTGGGACGACTTCTTTTGTCTTTCGTTCCTAGGAATGACATCTTTTGTCTTTTTCCTTGCGATGACTTCTTTTTGTACAGTGTAACCCGGATATAAGAGAAACCCGGATATAAGAGAGATTTTCTCCGGTCCCAAATTAGAGCCTGTGTTAATGTATATAAAATAGACCAAACCTGGATATAAGAGAAACCCGGATATAAGAGACTTCTTCTCCGGTCCCGACAACTCTCTTATATCCGGGTTACACTGTATTTCATTCTTCGGTAAAATTTCTTTTGTCTTTCATCAATCAGTGGGGCTTCTTTTGAGTTTCATACTTCAGGACGACTTCTTTTGTCTTTTCTTTCTTAGAATGACTTCTTTTGTCTTTCCTTCCTTGGGATGACTTCTTTTGTCTTTCCTTCCTTAGAATGACTTCTTTTGTCTTTCCTTCCTTAGAATGACTTCTTTTGTCTTTCCTTCCTTGGGATGACTTCTTTTGTCTTTCCTTCCTTAGAATGACTTCTTTTGTCTTTCCTTCCTTGGGATGACTTCTTTTGTCTTTCCTTCCTTAGAATGACTTCTTTTGTCTTTCCTTCCTTGGGATGACTTCTTTTGTCTTTCCTTCCTTAGAATGACTTCTTTTGTCTTTCCTTCCTTGGGATGACTTCTTTTGTCTTTCCTTCCTTAGAATGACTTCTTTTGTCTTTCCTTCCTTGGAATGACTTCTTTTGTCTTTCCTTCCTTGGGATGACTTCTTTTGTCTTTCCTTCCTTAGAATGACTTCTTTTGTCTTTCCTTCCTTAGAATGACTTCTTTTGTCTTTCCTTCCTTGGGATGACTTCTTCTCTTATTTCCTGCTACAAGATGACATATTTTTTGCTATCAAGGAATTATTTATTTCTTTCCTCTAAATGCATTATTTTTTCCTGGTCATGATTTATTTTATCTTTTGTTTTAATTTTTTATTCCTTGAGACGAATTCTTTCGCCTTTCCTTCTTGTTGTGGATTCCGATATGAAATTCGGTCCCCAATGAATGACAAACGCAAGAAATAAAGATAAGAAATTAAATGTATTTACACAATAATACAATGGGTATATTGTTAGTAAATCCAGGAACGCGGTTAGTCGTAATAATAATAATATATATAGATATAGTCTCGAAGTAGGACTTCCTTAGAGTCTACGTGCTTGTAACTGACTTCTACAAGCGGTTACCTCACTCTAACTCCAACTCCAACTCAATCACAATCTCTGCTCACTGTCTCTCTCTGTCTATATTCTGACTGACTCTGGGTATTTAACGGCAGCAGTCCAAGTAACACTCTGGTCGAGTCCACTTATGTGAAAAAGGGGTGGACCCCATAACACTTCTTCAGGAAAATTTGTTTTGTATTTCCTTGCTCAGGGTGGCTTTTTTTAATGTCCTTCTTTGTAATTACTTTTTTCGTCTTTCCCTTCTTCCGGGACGACTTCTTTCCTCTTTCCTTCTTCGGATTAACTTCTTTTGTCTTTCCTTCTTCGGAATATCTGCTTTTATCTTTTCTACCTCCGGACGACTCGTTTATATTTTTTTGTTTTTTTGTTTTTTCCTCTCTTTGAACATCTTTATCTTTCAGTTATAGAGGAATAAAGTGTCGCTGCCGACACTTGAGTTTGAACATAGATCGCCAGTGAGAAAACACAGGCGATCCCATTTTGATCAGTATAGTAGAACAGTAGGTCACGTGATGTAAAGGATCTGTATATATGTAAATTAGCGGGGCGTCTAATCGAACAATCTTTCTACTCTATCTTCTCTCTTACTGTATCGCTGTTCTCTATACTATTTTTATACTATTTCTCTATACGGATTACTATTCGGTGGTTCCTATTCGAGCGAGTATTATTCGTGCAAGTCCTATTAGTACGAGTGATATTTGAAGGCGTCTGACACCAGTATAGTTCAACGGCGTTACTGTAGTTATATCTGTGATTACAAAGTCTCTGCTACAATTACGAAAGTGACAACGAGTATTCGTTGACATTAACAAAAGTGGCAACGAGAGTTGGTTGACATCATAAAACTTACCTTCCGTATGATGACTTCATTTTTCCCTTGCTTCCTCGAAATAATTTATTTTGTCTTGTCTATTATTTAGTATTTATTTTTTAAACGGGTTTGGTGCCAGGAAAGTGAAGAGCTGACGAAGCTATTTTAAGTAGAGGACTCGGGTTCTTAGTTCAATAAATACCTTTAGCCTAGCCTATCTATGTTCAATTTCCTTTTGTTTTATACCAAATTTGTTATAACTGATCCAGACACTGAAGTATTTGAAGTGTTTAGTATTTATTAATTTCAAAATAAGAAGTCTAAACATTATGATAAAAAGTACCGGAAAAAAATGTCGTCTGGATGAAACAAAAAAAACATTTAGAAATGAAGAACGGAAAATGTGCAGACCTTGAATGAATGCATAATATTAAAAGAAAACATTTAAATGAAGGCGAGGGAGACAACAGGCCTACAAGCTATCTATATCTATAATTCTCAAAATGTGTGTGTGTGTGATCGGATGTTGTTTATGCGTTTCCACAGTTTTTCATCCGATTTCGATGCTTTTTATTTATTTATTTATTTATTTATTTTTTGATAGATAATTCTTCAGTGCCAGTTTTGAGTCCAAATTGGCTGGAAAAATTTACAACCTTGAAAGTTAAATATCGGAAAAAAAAATGGTTTTATACACTTTGCGCAAAAATCAAAGACAAAATTCAATGTTTGTAAAAAAAAAAAAAACAGCGCACAATTAATTTAGAGAGTTGAAATCTAACGCAAAAGATTATTAGAATTATAAATAAAAATTATATTATAAATATAATAGAAATTATCGTATATTATTATTATGACGGTCCCTGGAAGAGGTTCCTTCCTTGCAAGATTGAGAACGCAAAAACGGACCTTTTCAGAACCACTCCCCATTAAAATTATTGACCCAAACCATTTGGGGATGTGCTTCAGTTGCAGCCAATTGTTGTTACTAATATTGATTTTCGGGTGGGCTAAATTCAGACTTAAACTACTTCAATTGAACGGCAAAAATTCCTGGTGATTAAACACCCGGTCGAAGGCGGGTTATACTGCTAGTTAATGATAAAATCCATAAAGACCCGAAAAAGGTCCAGATAAATATATAAATAATTATATATATATTTATATATTTATATACACACACTTTTCACGCACACACACACACACACACACTTTTCACACACACATATATATATATATATATATATATATATATATATATATATATATATATATATTTAATAAAACTAAAAGAAAAAAGCATCAATATTAGTGATTTGGATTGTTTAATATATCCTAATATGAAAAGACAAAGAATTGAAAAAAAAAAAAGTTTATTTCCGGTTGCATTGCTGATTAACAAATTTCACTGAATTACGAAGTTCATATCTACCGCAAGGAAAGTTGGTTCTCTGTGTCACCCCAAAAAGTTTTTCTCGCTAGAGTCCATCTTTCAAATATATAAATCAATCATTCGCCATTGCATGGAATATTGCTGTCATATATGCTCTGGAGTCTCCGCTGTTGGTCTTAGGGTCCTCGACAAAATCCAGAGACGGATATGCAATGTGGTTGGCCGTGATCTGGCATCTCGTTTACAGTCGTTTCTCTCACAGACGTGACGTCGCCCCCCCCTCTATCTTTTCAACAAATACTTTCACTGTAACTGCTCCGACGAGCTACTTTCGCTGGTTCCCAAACTGCATGAATTTAAACGTGCCACTAGGTCGGCATCTCGATCTTACAGTTTCACTGTCGAAACGGTTTAATAGGTTCATGTGTCGCACTTCTCGTCTGTTGAGCGCCCTTCCTCTTACTTGCTTCCCTGATAGCTATAATCTCCAGCTATTCAAATGCAATATCAATCGACATCTCCAGATGCCTTGATCTATTCCCCGTTCTTCTCCTCATCCTTTCCTCTTTCACGCCTCTTTACTCTTGCTCCCACTTTCTGTAACCCCTTGCATGCTAGTGGCACTCCCGCCTTGCTTGGAGTGAAACATTTAAAAACAAAACAAAAACTATAAGAATATGTTGGATAGATAACGGCTGAGCCTTGATTTGAAGAAATTAAGATCATAGTGATCGGGGAAGCATCCTTTCCTGTCTGAGTAAAATACGAAAGAAATGAAGATGATTCGACTCTGTATACGTGGCATGACAAGTCCTAGCTGTGATGACCTGAACTGGTGGAACTAATGAATGTGGCTCGTCTGAACATTTTGTATGGAAATAACGATAATGTGGTGAGAGTCTAACAACATTTCGACTGTAGGAAAGAGGCTGTATCGTGGGAAGCAATTCATTACCCACAAGGCTGTCATAGTTGGAAAGTAACACTCCATATTTACCATATGTATTATTTTACAGTAGGACGTTGGAAATAGCGTGGGTAGACTATGGAAACAAGGATATAAGCAAAGTGGAAATCAAAAACAGAGAGATCATTTATTTGGGACATATAATGAGGAAACAGGGTTCAGAAAATTTGACACTCACAAGACACATTGACGGTCAGAGAGGCGCGATAAACAGCAAATAACTTACAAAACGAGCAGAACCTGGATAGGGAAGGATAGAAAGGAAATAAATATTGCTTAGAGATACAAATGATAAGAAATTGTGGAGAGCAATGACCGGCCATATCCTGAAGAGACAAGGAACATAATCTTGCACAATCTTCACTTTTAAAATACACCGAACTTTAAAATTCTTACTTTATCCATAAACCCAAACAAATCCTTTTACTGCGTCATCACAAAGCATTTGACGATCGATTACATAAACTGTATCAATTGTTTTAGACTAAATAATCTAAATCTAGCACCCCCACACACAAACATTCTTCTTTTTCTATGTGTCGTTGTAGGTTCCTATCTTCTCCTCCTTCATCGTCTGACGCTACATAGTTTTAGGTATGCATCCGATAGCAAAGTCCTCTTATCGGTAGATTGTATATTTTGAGGAGCGTGGAACCACC